TAAATCTGCCTTGTTTTACTCTCTCCCTCCAATCTGATATGCAATCTTTTGTCACCTAATTTTTTTGTTATCCTCATCACCTTACTCTTTCCTATACTGCATTTATTTATTTATTTATTTATTTATTTATTTATTACAATTTGAGCACACATACAGAGGTACAAAAAAAATACAGATAAGAGCAGCATGCCAAAGCCACTTATACTATGCATAGCATTACGGGCTGGCTTAAAATTAACTTAAGATTAACTAAGCAATGATGAAATCAGTGATAAAACATTAATGGAAACAGATTACTATAAAGTACAAGTGAGTATTACAAAGACAGGTCATATGGTTGCATGCATTATTGTACATTCAGTCGTATGGAGAATTCTGTTAGGTATTTATTTAAAAAAATAGTAAAGTTAGATTGGGTTTTAGGTTTAACATTTATGTGATATAATTGTGAGAAACATTTAAGATATACAATTTATAAGGTTGAGTTATTCAGTATTTATTTGTTTTGGGTGAGTAAGTGATCTTTGAGAAGAGACTTGAATTTATAAACAGGTAGTGTTTCTTTTATATTTACAGGTAATGAATTCCAGATTTTAGGGCCTTTTATGTGCATTGAGTTTTTGCATAGTGTGAGATGGACACGAGGAACATCAAAGAGTGATCTGTGCCTTGTGTTATGGTCATGTGTTCTGTTGAGGTTGGCAAGGAGATGTTTGAGGGGAGGGTTAATATCAGAGTTAAGTGTTCTATGTATGTAATAGGTGCAGTAATAAGTATGGATGTTTTGTATGGTGAGTAGGTTTAGTGTATTGAATATTGGTGGAGTGTGCTGCCTGTAGTGAGAATTTGTTATCATTCTAACTGCAGCCTTTTGTTGGGTAATTAGTGGTCTGGGATGGTTAATTGTTGTTGAGCCCCATGCACAAATTCCATAGGTGAGATAGGGGTAAATAAGTGAGTGATATAGGGCCAGGAGGGCTGACTGTGGAGCATAGTACAGTATCTTCGATAGTATGCCTACAGTCTTGGAATTTTTTTTAGAAATTTGTTGTATATGTGTATGAAATTTGAGTCTATTATCAAGGTGGATTCCTAAGAATTTTCCCTCTGTTAGTTTTGTGATAGGTGCTCCATTTATCATTATGTTAAGAGGGACATCTGTAGCTCTGTTACCAAACTGAATGAAGTAGGTTTTGTCAATGTTTAGTGTAAGTTTGTTAGTCCTCATCCAGGTAGATATTTTCTGTAATTCGGTATTTACAGTATTGGCTAGCGTGACTGGGCTCGGGTGGGAGAAGACGTATGTAGTGTCATCTGCAAATAGTGTGGGTTTGAGTAATTGCAACTTCTCTTCAGAATCGTCCAAAAGCACAGTGCCATCAGCAAAGAGCAATCTGTGATAACTCTAATAATAATAATAATAATAATAATAATAATAATAATAATATTATTATTATTATTATTATTATTATTATTATAATATAATTATTATATATTATTTTTATATTAATGACCCTTTTGGGTTTAGCAATTACTTATGAGTATAATAATAATAATAATAATAATAATATTATTATTATTATTATAATTATTATATATTATTTTTTATATTAATGACCTTTTGGGTTTAGCAATTAGTTATGAGTATAATAATAATAATAATAATAATAATAATAAATAATAATAATAATAATAATAAACAATAATAAAATAATAATAATAATAATAATAATAATATTATTATTATTATTATTATTATTATTATTATTATATATTATTGTATTATATTATTGAATCTTAATATTTGTTTACATTTCTCTCAACTGCGAATGGAACGTACGATCTGTAATTGTTTGTATGCATAAGTTTTGATAAATTTTAACTTTTTATAATAGATTTGTGTATTTTATGATTGTAAATGATAAGATAGACTATTATCCATATATATTTCATGCATTCATGACATAGCTAACTTTTTCTTATTTTTTTTTTTTTGTCATAAATCTTCAATTTACTTATTAAGTCAGCAAGTTTACTCAGGTATACACAAATACAGTTACATAGATCATCATACATAGCAGCATATGTGTAGAGAACCTGGGATAACCCAAAAAAGTCACAAAGTGACTCATTTCCATTGGGGCCCTGGTTTAAGTGGACACATCCAGTTCAAAATCCGTGTTGTTCAAGGGTCAACTGTATTAATTCTAATTATCAAGGAGTATAAAGAAGAAGAATATAAGTCACAATACTATGGCTGAAGCACTTCCCTGATACCCCATGCCTAGGAGAGGAAATTTGTGACTTGAGAGTAGTCCATGATAGATCAAAATGTTTTTATACCAAGTTTCTGTATGATCCTGACAAGTTTAACACTTTACCCTATATATATATACAGGCAGGCCCTGCTTTACAGCGCTTCGCTTTAAATCATTTCACTAATACAGTGGTTTTTCAATTGCACCCATTCTTTATTTATTCAGACTTCCTGCAGTAAATATATTCACCACTCACTATAAGCCAAGGAAGAAAATATTTTAAGGTAGGTAATAGTATATGTGCTGTATATGCATTTTTTTAGGCCTACCTATATTGCTCACTTAATAAATGATAGTGTAAACATGTTATCGAGCTTTTATATCCACTAGAAAGTGAAAAGAGGCTATGATTCACTTTACAGTGATTTTCCTCTTTACAGCAGTAGCGTGGAACCTAACCTGCTGTATAAGCTGGGCCCTCCTGTATATATCTCCCTTTTTTTTTTTACTTATATTTAGTAAAGTAGTAAACAGTTTCAGTTTGGGATGCAGACAAATATTTGGTCTGTCTTGTATGTACAAGTATCAGTTACTTGAAACTGTGTTGGTGAGCAGATACTTCTCACTAGAGTAGTGGGTAGACTTTTCATTTTTGTCACATTTTACTAAATTCTTTGTAACCTAAAATAAAAAAATAGTATTCAAGATTAAATTTTCTTTGCACAAGGGCACTAATTCTAGCTTTAGTATTAAAAGAACAAGTTTGTCACTTTTTGTGATTTCTTGATGCATTTTTACGTGGGTTAATTCATTTTCTTTATGGAGAGCCAATTGCTTGGGTTGTTGGTGACTTTCCCTTTGATGGCATTACCTTGAATAAAGGCAGCATCAGTATCAAAGCTTAGCTAAAAATTGTTTTAAAACACCATGTACAGAATACATGTATTAAAAATGCATTGATAAAAATATTGTTATTGATTTTTTAATTGCATAAACAGTGTATATCATAATAAAATCATAGACCTCAGTCTTTTCTCATGGGTGTTATGTGTTGCTAATTCTTTAATATAATGGTTCTTTATTAGTGTCACATGCATTCAATGGGAGTGCAAGATGTCATTACTGAAGATGTAAAAAGTCAGTCTATCAATAGACTATTTCACAAAATGCAATACTGTACTGTACTGTATAAACAAACCTCCCATGTAACATATACTGTTCCCTAGAATAAGATGCAAATTGCTACTGCACTATGCATTCATCGGCTGCTCATAGCTAAATAAAATCCCAATTGGTAAATAAGGAAATAGTTAAAAATTAGACTCATGTGCAACATCTGGGTATCTTTATTGTTGACATTTTGCTAACCAGTGGCTTTATCAATAATCTTAAGTTTGCCTGAAATGCTCTGTATACAAAGGGGCTTTTGGCATATACACCCAACTATTATATTCCTTTGTACAACCATGTTTCATGTCAAAATAAAAATTATAATTATTATTATTATTATTATTATTATTATTATTATTAAATTCAAGGACATAATTGGGAGACAGTAGAGCTGTATGCAAAATGATGAGGTTATCAGTCCCTCAGCCTTGGAACTGATGAAGAGTACCATAGTCATGAAGATTCTGAAGCACAGGCAAGAAGGCTGGCTCTTATATACTGGTGTCAGGTGATGAGGGATGTGTAGCAGATGAAGACATAGTCACTGGTAGGTGGGAATCCTCAGTGGAAGTAAGTCATACCCAAGGGATAGGCCAGTAGTAGTTAAGAAGGTTGTGGAGATGTCTTCTGAACCCACCTACCAGTGACTATGTCTTCATCTTTCACATGTCCCTCATCACCTGACACCAGTACATAAGTGCCAGCCTTCTTGTCTGTGCCTACTTAATGGTTATAACTATGACCATAATTTTTAAAGTGATGGGCCGGTAAGCCAGCGGAAGGCCTTGGTCAGATGACTAACACCCATATCAGAAAATACTTGTCCTGTTTCCTGACAAACCTTATTTAACCTAACCTTGCCTCTGCCTCAGAATCTTCATGAATATGGTGCTCTTCACCAATTCCAAGGCTAAGGGACTGATTACCTCATCATTTTCCAATTATGTCCTTGAATTTGTACTGATAAAGCCACTGGAGAGCGAAATGTTTAAAATAAAGATACTGGATATTGCATGTGTTTCATTTTTATCTCGTCTGAACTATATACCATTCATATACAAGGAAATAGTTACTCAATACTAGACAAACGTACCTCTCCTTAGCTCATGGTTTTAAATTAACATTAATTTTAAATTTATTTTAAGTGCCGAATCAAAAAGGAACAGACTTTGTTGTAAAAATTATATGGGAGTGGCACTTGCCAAGGTGAAGCCGTGCATTTCTGAACTTGTCTCTGAAAGGCAACAGCAAAAGTCACATTGATTTGCCATGGGGGTTGTTCAGCACAAAGAAAGCTTATTCTAGACTTTTTCTATTATCCAAGATATCTAAAAAATTAATTTAGTATGTTTTTATAAGCAACTGGGAAAAGACATGAGAAATGATATTTATTTTACAATTACTATATATGACACAAATTCTTTGTAATAAATAATATGCAACTGGGTTACTACATGACCAGTACTTGACAGGAGTACAGCATAAATATTGGCATTGCTGGCCTTATGCATGTATGATGTAACAAATGCCAAATTAATATGTGTTTCCTTCCCCATTTACATGACTCCTCAGAAGGTCCCAGGTCTCTCAATATCATGTCCGGTAAGAGTTTCCGTAGCATCTGTACATAGCATTGTTGTATCTGTGCACTTGACCCATGACGACACAATCACAATATACTGAAGAAGATTTTCTTGGGACAGAGATCTGCTCTGTGTAGAGCTTTATTAAGTCATGTAGTACTACTTTATGAAGTAAATAAATAAATTAAAATCTTTGTTTCTTATTGGACATACATAGAAGTTACATTAGAAGTTTACAGTATGTTTTGTTACAATTTTGATACAATTATGGTAAAAGGACAGTTTCATACAAATGAATGTCCAGAAGAAATTCATTTATTATGTACAGCTTATTGGCAAATCAGGCCAAGTAGAGGTCTATCAGGTCATGCAGAGCTTTATCAAATAATGACTTAATAATGCTCTCCATGGAGCAAAAAGTTGGCACAATAAATGCTTGTTTTGCTACTTATGTTTGTCTTCATACTTGTTAGCCATACAGTGGACCCCCGCATAACGATGGCATCGCATAGCGATTTTTCCGCATAACGATTACTTTTATCGCAAAATTTTTGCCCCGCATACCGATTAAAAACCCGCATACCGATTTTCGTCCGAGACGCGTCCAATGTGCCCTCACATGTGCCGGCCGTCCCATTGTTTACCAGCCAGCCTCCGCGGTAACATCCAAGCATACACTCGAATATTTCGTATTATTACAGTGTTTTCGGTGGTGTTTCTGGAAAATAAGTGACCATGGGCCCCAAGAAAGCTTCTAGTGCCAACCCTGTGGTAAAAAGGGTGAGAATTAGTATGGAAATTAAGAAAGATTTTGAAGGGTTTTGGGCTAACCCTGAGAAGCCTATGCCAGTTGTGGAATCCATTGTGGGCCCACTTCAAAGATTAAGGAAATGTGTGCAGAGTGGTTTGAACTGCAAACCTTTAAGATGAAAATCACCCTGACACAGCTGTTGCAAGCCGTGCTTGTGACTATTTCAATGACAATGTTATGGCCCATTTTAGACAAATCGTAAAGGAACGGGAGGTACAGAGCTCTATGGACAGATTGTTGTGCGACAGAGGTCCAGTGACTCTGAAGCTGGTCCTAGTGGCATTAAAAGAAGAAGGGAAGTAACCCCAGAAAAGGACTTGCTACCTCAAGTCCTAATGGAAGGGGATCCCCTTCTAAACAGTAAGAAGATAATGCTCCCCCTCCTCCCATCCCATCAATCATCACCAGATCTTCAATAAAAGTAAGTGTCATGTAATTGTGCATGCCTTTTTCAGTTTGTGTGTATTAAAATTAACATTTCATGTGGTAAAAAAAATTTTTTTTCATACTTTTGGGCGTCTTGCACGGATTAATTTTATTTCCATTATTTCTTATGGGGAAAATTAATTCGCATAACGATTATTTCGCATAACGATGAGCCCTCTTGCACGGATTAAAATCGTTAACCGGGGGTCCACTGTATTTTGTTTCATCTCACCTTCACCACACCTCTCCTAACCATCTACAAATTCTCCTCTATGTATATATGCAGTATTGTCTAGGTATGATACAATACATAGTTATAGAAGATTGGATGACGTTCGATATTATTTGCAGAAAGCCCTTGGTTATGCATAGTATTCTGGGCAAGCTGAAACCTAAGACTAATTGAACATAATAGACAATAATTATTGTACATATACATGTACTGTATACAAAGACATTAAGGAGACATAGGTTAAAATAATTCTAATGAATACACCAAAAAATACAAATGTGAGAGTACGTACGTATATTAAAACTGTAATACGTATAGTACATGACAATAAGAAGAATGAATGAAGGTAAATTCTGGCCAAATAAAATACATTTTTGGGTATAATTTTTTGTTACATTAGGTGACATTTAATACAATACAGTGGACCCTCCCTTTTCGTCGATCTCCAATATTGCCAATTTCCGTTTTCGTTGACTATTTTCGTCGATATTTTGGTTCCGTTTTTGTTGATTTCCTCTGTTTTTGTCGATCATACAAAACCTGTCCAGTGTCTAGCATGCAGACAAAGCCGCCTCCCTTACGTATTCTCAGGCAGTGTAGCATTGTTTCTCGGTGAGTGAACATATCCTGCCAGGTCATATGAAACATTTCATAATAATTCATTGTCTTTGTCACTTGATTATTGTGTGCGACTGATAAATAAGCCACCATGGCCCCAAAGAAAGGTCCTAGTGCCAGTCCTTTGGTAAAGAAAGTGAGGAACACCATAGAAATGACAAAAGAAATTGTACAAAAATATGATAGTGGCATACGCATTGCTGAACTTGGCAGGATGTACGGGAAGGTGCCATTAATGATCAGCTCCATTGTGGTAAAGAGAAAAGAAATCATGGAAGCTGATGTTGCGAAAGGGGTGAGTGCAATAACGAAACAGAGATTCCAAACAATTGAAGAAATGGAGAAAATGTTGTTGGTGTGGATCAGAGAGAGAGTTAGCAGTCGATAATGTTGTGCAGTCGATAATATGTGAAAAGGCAAGGCAGGTTAATGGCAATCTTATAAAGAAACTGCCTGAAATGAGTGCTGATGTTTGTGAATTTAAGGCCAGCAAAGGCTGGTTTAAAAAATTCAAGAAGTGAAGTGGAATACACAGTGTTGTAAGGCAAGATGAGGGTGCCAGTTCAGACAAACAAGCGGCTGAAAAATTTGTGTGGGAATTCAAAGGTTATGTAGAGGCTGAAAAATTCCAACCCCAACAAGTATTCAGTTGTGACAAAACAGGCCTGTTTTGAAAGAAAATGCCAAAGGGGACCTACAATACACAGGAGGAAAAGGCACTCCCAGGACACAAGCCTATGAAAGACAGGCTAACTCTCTTGTTGTGTGGTAATGCTAGTGGGGATTTCAAAGTGAAGCCTTTACTCGTGTATCACTCTGAAAATCCCAGAGTGTTCAAGAAAAACAGTGTTGTCAAGAGTAAATTGTGTGTGATGTGGAAAGCTAACAGTAGGGCTTGGGTCACTAGGGAAATTTTCCTGGAGTGGTTCAATGAGGTGTTTGGCCCGAGTGTGAAGAAATACCCCCTGGATAATAAATTGCCACTCCAGTGCCTCCTGTTAATGGACAATGCTCCTGCTCATCCTCCAGACTTGGAAGACCAATTGTCTAAGGAATTCAGTTTTATAAAAGTGAAGTTCTGGCCTCCTAACACCACTCCTCTCATCCAGCCCATGGACCAGCAGATCATTGCAAACTTCAAGAAACTGTACACCAAAACAATGTTTCAAAAGTGCTTTGACATAACCTCAGACTCTGAATTGACCCTAAGAGAGTTCTGAAAGAACCACTTCAATATCTTCCACTCATAGGCCTTATAGATAAGGCTTGGCAGGGAGTGACTTCCAGGATGAGGAACTCTACTTGTGGAAAATTGTGGCCAGATTGTGTCTAAAAGAATAATTTTGAAGGGTTTGAGGCTGACCCTGTCGACCCTACACCTGTTGTGCAATCAATTGTGGCATTGGGGAATTCCATGGGGTTGGATGTGAGTGGCAACGATGTGGAAGAGTTTGTGGAGGACCACAGTGAAGAGCTGATGAGCTGCAAAAGCTTCATCTGCAACATCAACAGACCACAGTTGAAGAACTTGCTTCAGAGGAGGAGGAAGAGAGATGGAAGAAGGTGCCTTCTTCACAGATTAAGGAGATTTGTTCAATGTGGATTAAAGTGCATTCATTTGTGGAGGAACATCACCCTGAGAAAACTGTTGCAATCTGTGCTGGCGACTTTTACAATGACAGTGCCATGTACCATTTTAGGCAAATCTTAAAGAGATGCCAGAAACAGAGCACTCTGAACAGACATTTTGTGAGACAGGGGTCCAGTGACTCTCAAGCTGATCCTAGTGGCATTAAAAAACAAAGGAGAGAAGTGACCCCAGATAAGGATGTGGTACCTGGAGTCCTTATGGAGAGGGATTTCCTTTCCAGAGAATAACCTCTTCCCTCTCCCCTCCTCCCTGTCTTCCATCCACCAACAACAGTCTTCAATAAAGGTAAGTGTCATGTTGAATGTTCATTCTTTTGTGCATATAAATCTATCTTTAAGGTAAAAAAATTCTTTTTTTTTTTGTTAATACTACTTCTCGGTGTCTGGAACGGATTATTTCTTATGGGGAAAATGGTTTCCGTTTTCGCCGATTTCTGTTTTTGCCGATCGCTCTGGAACGGATTAAACACGAAAACTAAGGGTCCACTGTAATTTAAAAACTAGATACAGTGATTATTTACCTTCCATTTCCCAGGCTCTTTATAACTTCCAGGTTTAGTGCTTTCCCATGAAAATAATAAGTAATGGTTTCAAATTTCCATGACTAGAAAAGATGATTTTTGTGATGGAAATTTTAAGTTAAGTTTATTAAAAAAAGAGTTTACCTAATATATCTTGCAAACATTTCCTCCCTACTAAATAAAATTATTTTAATTACCAAATTGTGAAATGAGGTCATTCTTATTTTAGTTCAGAAAGTCGTTGATTATATCTGGAAGAAAATGTGAAAAGCATGTCGAGTATGGTTTATGTTGATATGTATATATAATCTGCTATAGCCAATATCAGTTCATTTGACGTTGCACGATTAATGTTTAAAGCTAGAATAATCAACTATTTTTGTGCATAATAAATTAAATATGTTTATATGCATGTATAAATAAAGCTGTTGTATGTACAATATGTATAGATGTATATATGTATGTACATGTGTGTAAATGTACCTGTGTATGCATGTGCTAACCTATATGTGGTTGCAGGTGTTAAGTCCTAGCTCCTGGTGAATGTATGGATGGATGGATGTATGTATATATATATATATATATATATATATATATATATATGAATGAATGAATGAATGACTGTGTGTTTAAGGGGAGGAGGGATAGGTTTTATTTCCACAAATGAGCCCTATGGAGAAAACAAAGTAGATGATAAGGAAAGTACTATATATTTCAGCCTGAGACTGATGCCCTCTTCAGTCTGCTGAGGCTGTGAAGTTAAAATGCAGATTACTCTTATTATCATACTCTTCCTCTCATTACCATTTAATAAGGATCTGACATATTAGTCACTCCTCTAAAAACATGTATCTTCAGATATCTGTTTTTTAGCTGCCTTTTACCACCAATACATTGTTTAGGAATCTTCTCTGGTTTCACACCTCTTTATTCTTATAATTACTTATCCTCATAAAATATGTATTACTTATGCCAAACCTCTCTGAAAAGTAATTCAATTAAATGTTCCCATTGTCATTAAAATTCTTACTAGACATACCTCAACAACGATGTTTCCCAGTTGAAAATCAAGGTTTCCCAAAACAATTATTCTCTTGCTTAGTTCAAAATTTCTCAAACATTCACTTAACGCTCTCCTAGAATCTCTCCTTTATACTCCTGTTTTACCCTCTATATACACAGACACTCAATATACACTACTGTTTGCATTCCACTCTCATTTTGAGCAACATAATTCTTAAATTTGAATATGTATTCCCCTCTTTTATTTCAACAGTTGTTAATTTAACATTATCATTAGTTGAGTAATCATTACCTCTCTCTCTTTCAGATACCCCTGATTTAATTTTTTTTTTATTCCTCATTCAGACTCTCCCACTTATATTAACTCTGCTTCACTGTATTATCAAAGAACAACTGTGACAACTTCCACATTATGTCACTTTTATTATCTTTAAAGACTGCACTTCTTTCCATCAGACTGGCATTCATTCATGACCCCACTTATAAAAAAAATTATACAGCCATAGTGATGTCAAATATCTTTGTGTTAGGCCCACTGTTATTTGAAAATACTTCTCTTCTCTCCTACAGACCTACCTTGAACCTCACTTTTTCTCAGCTCCCTACTCTTACTTAAGTATTGCTCACCTATATACTTCTACCTAACATTTGACTGACACATCCCCTTCCTTTCCCAAAGCCACTGTCTTAGCTTTCAAGGCCACTACTGCCTTCTGTCTCCCCTTTTTGAGAATAATTCTGCTGCTCAACTATGTTTATTTCATACTTTAACATTTTTGTCCCCCCTTTCAAGTACACTTCTTTTCTCCCTTTCAACCAGCCCACTGCCTCACCCATTTCTTCCATGCTTGCCCATGGTTCTTCTTTCGTAATGTGTGCATATGTATGCTAAGCAACTGTACTGACACATGATTCAGATATGCAGAATAGCCACTAGTGTCTGCCTTTTCAATATGTAAAAAGCAAAAATTACTGTACCTGTACCGTACCAAATTATTTGAGTTCACCTCAGAATGCCTCATAGTTTCTATTAGAGATGTTAGTTCTTAAGTGATTTCCTGTTTTATTGCATGTAAGGTAGTTTTCAGAATCTCTAGTGCAGTATCCCCTCAAGGGGTAGAGTGCCCTGATGCTGGCAAAGAGCTTTTGATACAAAGAATTGGTATTAGCTTCCCTTTTCTCAGATCAAGCCTGATTACCTTTTATATTCCAGGCACTGTATTATTCTCACCTGTTTAGTGTTCATCTCCTTTGCCATTATTTTTCTTTGTTAGTGCTTTTATGTAGACATTTTGATCCTTCCGCAGCTCATATATTTTAATTTACATTTCTTAGCATTTGTATATTGCTTCTTAATGATGTTATACTATGTTTCAGTTTTCCTGAACTCTTCAGGCCATATTATTAGATTTTTTTTTTCAAAATGTTAACATAAAACATTGTGTGTCTTGTCAACAATATACGTATCCAGTAATATTACACTTTTCTGGTGCACATGTATTTATGTTCTTAGACAAACTGTTGATTTGAAATATAAATAACCATAACTACAAATGAAATAAAAATAATAGCCATAACTCCAAATCTCATTCTTATATTTAAATATGCTTTATAATGTCTTGGAGTAATTGATTGCCACTTCCTGAAACAGCTTAGAAAGTGGGAAGTACACATGCCTCTGTCCAGAGGGATATTTTGGTGGAACCTGTGAATATCAGGACCCTTGCTTCTCCAGTCCTTGTCAACATGGTGGCTCTTGTATCAATCTGACTGACACAGATTTTGTCTGCCAGTGCACTCTAGGATATAGAGGTAAGAGCAGCTATTAATATAATTGGGTTATTACACTGATGGGAATAAAGAAAAGATGTATGTTGCAGAAAAAACTTTTATTGGGATAACATAGAGCTTTATCAACACTTAATGAGGCTCTACACAGAGCAAAATGTTATCAAGGCTTTATATAGCTCTTCACAGAGTGAAATGTCCTGGCCCATGAAATGCCCTGGCTCTTGGCTGGGGTCTGGGAGTAGAAAAACTCTCAGAACTCATCAAAGGTAAGGTATCCCAGTAAAAGCTAGTTTTACAGTATGCATCTCTCACTATTTCTTTATATTTGAAGGATGGGTGTCAAAAGTTTTGGATCTTTTATGCCTATTATTTTAACACACTGGTCATCTCCCAATGAGATAGGGTGATCTGAAAAAGAAGGCAACAGCAACAAGGCTTATTCTTTTACAGTTTTCTAATACAGTATATTTATACCATCCCTGATTTGTATCGAATATTTTACATGTACAAATTATGATATATCTTTCTTACCTATTCTCCAGAGAGTACAATTTGAGGAATTTTAGATGGTCCCAATAATTTAGAGGTTTGAATAGATGTAGACAGTTGAGGTTCTCTTCACATTTTCACATACTGATATTTTAACAGTTCAAAATGCTGTGCATCCTTTGGAGTATACCTGGAGAATGTTTCAGGAGTCAATGCCCCTGTGGCCCAGTCTGTGACCAGGCCTTATAGTGGATCAGGGCCTGATCAACCAGGTTGTTACTGTTGGCTGCATGCATCCCGACGTACGAACCACAGCCCAGCTGGTCAGGTACTGACTTTAGGTGCCTGTCCAGCACCTTCTTGAAGACAGCCAGGGGTCTATTGGTAATCCCCCTTATGTATGCTGGGAGGCAGTTGAACAGTCTTGGGCCCCCGTCGCTTATCGTGCTAGTGGCACCCCTTCTTTTCATTGGAGAGATGTTGCATCTTCTGCCAAGTCTTTTGCTTTCATAGGGGGTGATTTTCATGTGCAAGTTTGGTACTGATCCCTCTAGGATTTTCCAAGGGTATATAATCATGTATCTCTCCTGCCTGCATTCTAGGGAGTACAGGTTGAAGAACTTCAAGTGTTCCCAGTAATTGAGGTGTTTTATTGCAGTTATGTGTGCCGTGAAGGTTCTCTGTACATTTTCTAGGTCAGAAATTTCACCTGCCTTGAAAGGTGCTGTTAGTGAGCAGCAATATTCCAGCCTAGATAGAACAAGCGACCTGAAGAGTGTCATCATGGGCTTGGCATCCCTAGTTTTGAAGGTTCTCATTATCCATCCTGTCATTTTTGTAGCAGATTCGATTGATACAATGCTGTGGTCTTTGAAGGTGAGATCCTCTGACATGATCACTCCCAGGTCTTTTACATTAGTTTTTTGCTCTGTTGTGTGGTTGGAATTTGTTTTATACTCCAATACAGTTTTAATTTCCTCACGTTTTCCATATCGGAGTAGTAATTGAAATTTCTCATCATTGAACTTCATATTGTTTTCTTTGGCCCAATGAAAGATTTGGTTGATGTCTGCCTGGAGTCTTGCAGTGTCTTCAATGGAGGACACTGTCATGCAAATTTAGGTGTCATCTGCAAAGGAAGACATGGTGCTGTGGCCTATATCCTTATCTATGTCAGATGTGAGGATAAGGAACAGGATGGGAGCGAGTACCGTGCTTTGTGGAACAGAGCATTTCACCATAGCTGCCTTAGTCTTACCGTAGCTACCACTAAATAATGATCTGACACATTACCTGGAGTTTACCTAGAGAGAGTTCCAGGGGTTAATGCCCCCACAGCCTGGTCTGTGACCAGGCCTCATGGTGGATCAGGGCCTGATCAGCCAGGCTGTTACTTCTGGCCACACGTAATCCAACGTACGAACCACAGCCCAGCTGGTCAGGTACTGACTTTAGCAGCGTGTCCAGTGCCTGCTTGAAGACAGCCAGGGGTCTATTGGTAATCCCCCTGATGTATGCTGGGAGGCAGTTGAACAGTCTTGGGCCCCTGACACTTATTGTGTTGTCTCTTATCGTGCTAGTGGCACCCATGCTTTTCATTGGGGGGATGTTGCACCGTCTGCCGAGTCTTTTGTTTTCGTAGGGAGTGATTTTTGTGTGCAAGTTTGGTACTAGTCCCTCTAGGATTTTCCAGGTGTATATAGTCATGTATCTCTCCCTCCTGCATACTAGAGAGTACAGGTTTAGGAGCTTCAAGCATTCCAAGTAATTGAGGTGGTTTATTGCAGTTATGCGTGCCATGAAGGTTCTCTGTACATTTTCTAGGTCAGCAATTTCACCTGCCATGAAAGGTGCTGTTAATGTGCAACAGTATTCCAGCCTAGATAGAACAAGCAACCTGAAGAGTGTCATCATGGGCTTGGCATCTCTGATTTTGAAGGTTCTCATTATTCATCCTGTCATTTTTCTAGCAGATGTGCTTGATACAATGCTATGGTCCTTGAAGGTGAGATCCTCTGACATGATCACTCCCAGGTCTTTGATATTAGTTTTTCACTCTATTGTGTGGTTGGAATTTGTTTTATACTCCGAAGAAGTTTTAATTTCCTCACGTTTTCCATATCAGAATAATTAAAATTTCTCATAATTGAGCTTCATATTGTTTTCTGCAGCCCATTTAAAGATTTGATTGATGTCCACCTGAGTCTTGCAGTGTCTTTAACCCTTTGACTGTTTCGGTCATATATATACGTCTTACGAGCCAGTGTGTTTGACGTATAAGAAACATAAGAAACATAAGAAAGGAGGAACACTGCAGGAGGCCTGCTGGCCCATACTAGGCAGGTCCTTTACAATTCATCCCACTAACAAAACATTTGCCCAACCCAATTTTCAATGCCACTCAAGAAATAAGCTCTGATGTGAAAGTCCCACTCAAATCCAACCCCTCCCACTCATGTACTTATCCAACCTAGATTTGAAACTACCCAAAGTCCCAGCCTCAATAACCCAACTAGGTAGACTGTTCCACTCATCAACTACCCTATTTCCAAACCAATACTTTCCTATGTCCTTTCTAAATCTAAACTTATCTAATTTAAATCCATTACTGCGGGTTCTCTCTTGGAGAGACATCCTCAAGACCTTATTAATATCCCCTTTATTAATACCTATCTTCCACTTATACACTTCGATCAGGTCTCCCCTCATTCTTCGTCTAACAAGTGAATGTAACTTAAGAGTCTTCAATCTTTCTTCATAAGGAAGATTTCTAATGCTATGTATTAATTTAGTCATCCTACGCTGAATGTTTTCTAACGAATTTATGTCCATTTTGTAATACGGAGACCAGAACTGAGCTGCATAATCTAGGTGAGGCCTTACTAATGATGTATAAAGCTGCAGTATGACCTCTGGACTTCTGTTGCTTACACTTCTTGATATAAATCCCAGTAATCTATTTGCCTTATTACGTACACTTAGGCATTGCTGTCTTGGTTTAAGGTTGCTGCTCACCATAACCCCCAAGTCCTTTTTGCAATCTGTATGGCTAAGTTCTACATCATTTAAATTATAAGTACTAGGGTTATGGGCACTCCCAAGCTTCAGAACCTTGCATTTATCTACATTGAACTGCATCTGCCACTTTTCTGACCAAGAATAGAGTTTGTTTAAATCCTCCTGAAGTTCCATAACATCTATGTTTGAATCAATTATCCTACCTGTCTTTGTGTCATCGGCGAATTTGCTCATATCACTAGTAATTCCCTCATCAAGATCATTGATATATATTATAAACAACAACGGGCCCAAGACTGATCCCTGTGGAACGCCACTTGTTACAGATCCCCACTCGGATTTAACCCCATTTATGGACACTCTCTGCTTCCTGTCAGTGAGCCATGACTCGATCCACGAGAGCACTTTTCCCCCAATGCCATGAGCTGCCACTTTCTTTAACAGTCTATGGTGCGGAACTCTATCAAAAGCCTTACTAAAATCTAAGTAAATAATATCAAATTCTTTATTGTGGTCAACAGCCTCAAAAGCTTTACTGAAGAAAGTTAATAAATTAGTTAGACAAGACCGGCCTCTTGTGAATCCATGCTGAGTATCATTAATAAAAAATTCTAGCGGCTTCAAATCAAGCGGGAGAAAGCTGGTAGGCCCACATGTGAGAGGATGGGTCTGTGTGGTCAGTGTGCACAGTATAAAAAAAAATCCTGCAGCAAGCAGTGCATTATGAGAAAAAAAAACTCCGGCCGTGTTTTTGGATTAAAATGCCGACTTTGAGGTGTATTTTCATATAGTTTCTATGGTTATATTCTCATTTTCGTAGTCACATTTGATAGAATGGAAAACATATTATAGAAATGGAGGTAATTTTGATTGGCTTTACTATGAAAAGGACCTTAAAATGGAGCTCAAAGTAGAGGAAATGTTTGATTTTTGCCAATGTTCAAGAGTAAACAAATGGCATCATTGTCCAATAAATGTCCAACTAGTCATTCTGATATGCAGTCATGAATGGGTTGACATTATTTATACAATTATTACAATATTGCAGTAGTCTGCATAACAGTAAGTCTTCTCTTTTTTGTTTGAATAAAAATTCAAAATAGAAAGCAAGAGTAATATTAGAGGGGCCTAGAGACGTGACTGATGAACAAAGAAAATGTTATTTTAGAGCCAGGAATGTCTGCATTGTTCATTTTGGACCCTATTTTGAAACTGGCATATTTTTTAATTTTCATGAAATTGGCCAAATTGCCAATTTCTGACCACTTTATTGAGTAGTTGAAATCGGTAAATGGGCAGTTTCTTGTACTCAATCAATAGAACAAATAGAGGTCTAAAGAAATAGCTATGAGTTTGGTCAACTGGAACAATAGAATTAGCCGAAAATAGGGCTCAAAGTGGACGAAATCGCCGATTCATAAATATCGCTGAGGTTGCTAACTTTGCGAGAGCGTAATTCCATAAGTTTTTGATGAAATTTTGTACTTCTGGTGCCATTACCATCGGGAAAAGAT